AATTACAAAAACATACGGAACTATATTCTCAAGTCGCGGAGCACATTTCTTGCCGAGGAGAAATAGCGGAGTGTTACGGACCGGGTACTACTTTCTCTAGGGCACCTATTTGTGTTGCCAGCTGAACCTAAAATCGTGTTGTATAGTGTTTGAAAGACTAATTATTTATATGCTTTATAGTGACTGTAGGAAAAATATAATGTGCAACGCGAGTGCAAAAGGCCTTTGCTGCACTCGAGATCATTCCGCACGAGCCGCAGGCGAGTAAACATTGTAAACATTGCTCTCGTGTGCAGAAAAGTGCCATTTTGTCCACTAGTTACACAAATAACTATTGCAGGGAGCGGCCAATACGTGAATGTCGTTTGCAACACACCGCGAAGCTAATCTCGATACTCCTACTAAATATTCATACAGCTGTTGTCATGCTATGTTTGACCATATCCGCGCATTGTTGGAAAGCGTTGTTAATGATTACGTGTTATTGGCAATCGGAGGCGTTTATCACGTCATTTACGAGCTAAATTCACGCGAATATTGAAACTGTTCAAATATTGAATAATAACAAAGTAAGAGATCACACAACTTGTCCAATGATTGAAAGTTTTGATTTGTTTAACATCTATCAGATTTAAGAAGTTTTTTTAAGCCAAAAAGGTTTGCATTAAAAATAAACTCCCATACTAAGCTATATTGATCGAACATAGATAAACCAATCAATTGTTGTCTTAGTGTTGTATTTTACTTTGTTTGTTGTCGTACATATTCGTATGCCAGACGCTTTGTCTGAAACTAATCTTGAAATGGGATCTAGGGTATAAGGTTGAGCCACAGCTCTTAGGATTAATGGTAATTCTAACTTTGTATTGTATACACAAAGGAATAAATACTTAAGTAATATGAGAACTACTATTTTATGTAAAAGGTCTCCCAATAATTGTTTTTCAATTGTTATAACTAATAGAAAAATGCATTACATAACAGTGTTTGTAATTTAAGAAAATAACCATAAAATATATAATATTTTTCTTATTTATTATCAAACTTTTTAAGATATATATTTTATCAAAATTGGAAAATAATATAACTATATAAATTCACTCACGTATTCCATAGCGCAAACTTAATACCATTATATAAACCCTAACCACCAATGTTTGTATATTTCAATGTATGTTTCTTGTTTACATTTTGTAAACAAGAAACATACATTGAAATATACAAACATTGGTGGTTAGGGTTTATATAATGGTATTAAGTTTGCGCTATGGAATACGTGAGTGAATTTATATAGTTATATTATTTTCCAATTTTGATAAAATATATATCTTAAAAAGTTTGATAATAAATAAGAAAAATATTATATATTTTATGGTTATTTTCTTAAATTACAAACACTGTTATGTAATGCATTTTTCTATTAGTTATAACAATTGAAAAACAATTATTGGGAGACCTTTTACATAAAATAGTAGTTCTCATATTACTTAAGTATTTATTCCTTTGTGTATACAATACAAAGTTAGAATTACCATTAATCCTAAGAGCTGTGGCTCAACCTTATACCCTAGATCCCATTTCAAGATTAGTTTCAGACAAAGCGTCTGGCATACGAATATGTACGACAACAAACAAAGTAAAATACAACACTAAGACAACAATTGATTGGTTTATCTATGTTCGATCAATATAGCTTAGTATGGGAGTTTATTTTTAATGCAAACCTTTTTGGCTTAAAAAAACTTCTTAAATCTGATAGATGTTAAACAAATCAAAACTTTCAATCTTTTTTCAAAAGATGATGCATTTCAGGTTATGCATTTCAAACGAAGTACATTCATCTTTAGTATTTTATTTAAAATTACTATGAGATAGTATATGGAAAGATAAGAAAAATCTTTGAGGTCAATTTTACTTGGAAAGCGCACATTCCCACCACGTTTGATGTCAAGTAATCTTTTATAATGAAGACTTCGTGTTCGGTATAAAATACTTATTGTGCCCTATGGGGAATAACCCAATACCCTAGGTGGCATGGTGAGATCTATACCCAGGACCAGTATACATTTTCTACTTGATGTCCCTAGAGGCCAAAAAAACTATTCAATGTTTAACATTATTTGTACGTGTACGGTATTCTTTAAACACGATTTCATAATAATTTTGGTCCGATTTAGATGAAAATTGGCAGTTTATGACTGATACCTTTGAATGAGCTTGCGAACCAACAATAAAAAAAATAGATTAGGTTCAGATTGAGTCACGAGAACGATAATGAGTGATAATGGGGAACTAATTTGTCAGAATTTTATTTTTTAAGATCTCTACCCTTAAAACATACAAAATTCCCAATTTATATTTGATCACAATTAATATTTCTACTACTGGATATTGAAGATTTAAATAATAAAATAAACTGTTACCTTGTTCAATATCCTTTTATTCTTCTTAAGACGACCGCTTTCGTGACTACAGTCACATCATCAGGTCAATCCTCGTAGAAGGCTCGCCGTAAATGTGCACGCTTCGCAAAGGTTTCTGTCTGTAAATACTTTGTAAATATAATGTGTTTGTGTTTTGAGCTCGGTAAAAACTTTATATATACATAACGAATCGTTCTACGAGGATTGACCTGTTGATGTGACTGTCGTCACGAAACCGGTCGTCGTAAGAAGAATAGAAGGATATTGAACAAGGTAACAGTTTATTTTATTATTGTATTTGATGCATCCCGTAAAGCTTAAAAGATGCAGATTTATAATGAAGAAACCTTACTGTACAATTGAATTTTAAAGAAAAAATTAATAAAAACACTGCAAATTACAAAATTGCATGTTATTTTTCATAGGTAAACGTAACCTGTTATTGTTTGCTTCTTTACTGATGTATTCTGATAGAGTTAGGCAAACTTATTTATACGAAATTTTACTATTAAAATGTTACTGAGAAAACACTTTCTCTTCCCTGCAGCAGCTGAACTAAGTTCTCGTTAAACTTAATAATATTTAAATAGGGAATACATCTGACATGGTTGAACAAAACATTGGGTAAAATCCAATCAATCAAATGGAAATTCGCTTAGTCTGCAAAGTTGCTGCGGTAGGGGTATTTTACTTATTCTTGTTTGAAGGTATGTTTTCCCTTGTAATTCATTATACAATAATTGGTTGGCTAATCTTTTTTGTAAAACAATCACTAACGCCAATGTTATGTAACACTTGTATATAACACTTATTTCTTATTTCGGCCCGCAGTTGTACAATGGCCTCCCTCAAGAGATTAAGTGTTCGAAATCTAGGGCAAACTCATTCAAATTAAATAACTCATTCAGGGCCGCCAAAAAAACAAAAAACAAATGTAAAATGTTTATTGTAAATTATTGTGTTTGCTTTGTTGTATATACTTATGTAAATATATTAGGATAGTTTAGATTTATTGACTTGAGTTAGTTTGAACCATGTATTATTAAACTCGCTCGTTGTAAATAAAGGCCTTTTTATTTATTTTTTATTTATATGTTGCGTGACTTTCTTTGAAATATTGGTTTTCATTTTGAAATATTAGCTAAGGCATTTTTATCGGATATGCAATGCCTTTTCGTATTTATCTTTTCCATTTCATGTTGTATAATGCCTTTTACCTATATTGTGCTTATTCATAATTTAAATATACATGTTTCTGTAGGATACAATTATAAAATCATGAGTGAATTTTGGAATTTATATTGAAATTCACACTCAATATCCTAACTTGCTTGACACACATATTTTATTCCAATACTCCCTAACAGTTAATAAGTATGAATACCTTTTCAATTTAAATGCCTGGTTATCAATCTATTTAGTTGTGTATTATACCTATTTTAGGCTTAGGTCCCCTGTTGTAATTCTCAGCCTATAGTAAAATATTCATAGCCAAAATATTCATTACACGAATCTTGTCCCCGTAACTGAATCACTAGACTGATGCATATTTCAACGGCCGTCTGTAGCCATTGTCAATTGAATCTGTTTTGATGTGTTTGTTTTGTTATCATATTGTTAGGCATATTACAAAATATATAAATTCAAATTCAAATTCTGTATTCAGCATGAAGACATAGTTACAATGTGGTATGTGGAAAGTCAAAATTACAAAATTAAAACTAAATAAAACAATCCCTCTAAAAAATAATTATACATGTCCAAACTTAACAGTTAAAAATTCATTTACTGAGTAATTCTTTTTTTCTAATTAGAACAAATGTCAGCCTCCTCCTAAATACTACGAAAAAATGCGTTGGAGTGTGGCGGGATATTCATAATGCATCTGGACTTACTTCTTGTTCAATAAGTGTGAGATGGGAGAAAGTGATTAAAAAGATGATTGTTGGTACATGAGGTTCTGGATGAAATATGAAACATTTTTCGTATAGCTTTCTTCTAAAGCCCAAACACTGACTTGTATTTGGTGCTCTCAGAGCCCCAAATTGAAACTCCATAGGATATAAGCGAATAAATAATACCATAATAAGCAGTTATAAGTATATCAGTCGATGCAAAGCGATCCAGATTCTGGAGCACAGAAGTACCCTGACTCAGTTTCTTACATACATGATATGCTGTTGAAACGACAAAGAACTTAACGGAGCGTTCTGAGATATCAGGTTCATCACCCGAATAAATACTGAGCAAACTATTATTTAGATTACAGTTAATGGACAGTTTTAGAGATATTTACTTGTAGTCTATTTTGCTGAAGCCAATTAACAAGTGCATTCTCCTTCAAGAACGTATTGAGTTCTAGGATGTTTGTGGAGAGGCTAGAAAACGTTAATGACGTGTCATCAGCATTTTAAGATACAGTAAATATAATTCAGACACGTATGAGTTTTAGAGACCTTATAGTATGTTTTATTACTAGACCTTGTCAGAGGTTGTTTAACTTTACTATTCATATCGTTGTTTTTTTATCTATCTTATCTGATTAAAGTGGTGATTCATTTTTAATGTTTTTTTCAGGTAAGAGACCAGACGGATTATCTATCTTTAAGAACTCTTTGTACATAGTATAAACAGGTAAGTACATTAATATAGCCTTTTCAGACTTAAGTATGAAAGTAATAACAAATGCACGAGTTAGCAGAAACAATAAAAAGAAAATATTATTTAGTTGTCGGGTGGAGTTTTAATTATTAAAGATTGCGAAACAGTTATTTTAACATCGTATTCAATTGTTTAGACATTCTGCAACATCCAATTGAAAGTAGTGGTGAAAGAATGCTATAGTCCAACCAATGCACTTTTGTATATTAGTACATTTTGTGTGTGTGTGTGTGTGTGTGTGTGTGTGTGTGTGTGTGTGTGTGTGTGTGTGTGTGTGTGTGTGTGTGTAAATGTCTTACATGTTCATGTATAAGTCACGACACAGGTTTAGGGTGTGGTGACAAGGAATTAGAGACCTGTCCTTTGTCACGTGATAAGGTTCAATGGACGCTTTGGAATCGTAAAACAATAGGTGACTATTTTAAACCCCCCTTTACGATATCGCCACATATTTCGGTTTTCCTAATTAAAAAAGAAAAATTAACGCAACAATAAAATATATTTATTGGAGAATTTATTTCAAAATGAATCCGTAAACATAAAGTTCTTACCTGATGAATACAGGTTGGAACGAAGTTATTAAAAAAATATGTTATGTGTTAAACTACTAAGTATTGGTGACAAATGGCACAAATTTAGGTTTCCATCCTTTACAAATAGGGAATAACAGACTATTAGGATGGTTTAAAAAATATTTGTATTTTCTTAGATAAAATGACTATGAGTGCACTAATGATTCTTTTTATTTCATATTTATGAAATTTGTTCACCAATACTTAGTAGTTTAACACATACAACTATTTAACGGTAACCTTGTTCCACTCTGTAATAGTTTAAACCTGTTTGTTATTTGCAGAAAACATTTAATTATAAAAATGTATAAGACAAGTTAAGAGGTCGTGTGTAAAATATATTTTATGACGTTTACATGATAGAATAAATCATAGTTAGTAAATTTTATTATTAAAATCATTATCTATTCGATATATAATTTCTAAGCTGTGGATTCTTTAATCTTGAACTTTCTAATCTCATAAAAAATATTAGATGTGCGTAAAGAGTATTGAGCAAAGGAAGGGGTGGTTGGTACAACAGTGGGTGGTAAGACAGACGTTCAAATTCTTTCTGCATGAAATACTTATTAAAGTGACTTAACATTAAACGAAAATTCCTTTTCGGGATGGTATGAATACGTAAACTTACCATTTTCTGTTATACATCAGAAAATTACAACATGTGTATGAGCTAATACTCCCACTGTCATAAAGCTACAGACTTGGTAGATTTCCTTTTGCCTAGTACAATTTTCACTAAAATATTAATCAGCTTTTATTGAGTACTTTAATTTCCTGATACATGTCATAACGTGTCTTAAAGTGTGTTTTATTAAAATGTTAATAACCATTTAAAGTGGTCCCTTGTCTAGGTCTTAACATGAGACCTACGGAAAAGCGTATATTCCCCATTAAAAATTTAATATACTTTATCATTACATTTCATATAGATCCCAAGAAAAAAAATAGACTTGAGTGAAGGAGAAGTTTCACAAATAAGCGTCTTCGTTAGCCTCGTCTTATTACGAAGATAACGAGAAGGTTTACTTAAGCACAATCTGTTATTTAACAATCAGCTTCTAAGATTGCCTACGTCGTAGACTCAGTATAGCCTTGCTTATTGTCTGTTTTACAACAACTAGAAAATAGATTTTCATTCAGTTAGTCTATAACCGTAACACTAGTATCTCAATAAATTGTCAAGTATCGTCATAATTGGAGAGTATTGACCATATTTACAAAAATTTCAATCAAATCCAGGTATAATCGCTATATAAATAAAATAAAGTACATAAATTATCGTCTTGTAGAAGGAAGTATGGGAAGATGCAACCAATGGTCAATTAAAGGAACATTTCGGGTCCAAACACTCCGTCTAGCCATTACCTCCTCATTCTCAATGTCAGGTTAATGTGATATTAGCCTGGTTGAACTTATTTGGTATATAATACTTTTAGTATATATAGCAAGATAATTTAGGTTTTACTCATCTTTGGTTATATTACTCTGTATTAAAATAATCCTTACGTGTTTGAACAAATTGATTTATCGATTTAGAAGTTAATGTATAGTGAAAAAGTACTCTCTCTTTCCAAAATGAAATAAATTAAAACGTGATTACTATATTAAACTTAATAATGTAGCCACTGATCTGTTTAATTATACTTTTATAGGTACATACCTTACATTAACAGATCCACAATCAGTGGTCACTGCATATTTCACCTATTCAGGCATTGTTAAGTGATCTTTACTAGAATGTTAAATCCAAATGAGATTGTCAACTAAATTAAAATAAAATACGAATAACAGTTTACTCTGTCTCCGTACCACAACCAGTTGATAGTAGGCCAACAGGTTTTATTGTTGATAGTAAATGTTTAAATGTTTTTTTCGTGCGTACGTAATTTTTATTTATTCGAATATAATTGACATACCAAAATTTGGATGAGAAATTCTTACAAAGATTACTTTACAATGCCCAGGCATATTCAGCTAGTTTATTGTTTTCGTGTTCGTGTGTTTAACGACTCTTCACAGTTATGAAGAGGGTTTGTGTGTTTGGAATGTGTTTGAACTATGGTAACAGCTTAAAAATGAATCTTTAGGTTTGAAAGCTGGGTTGCTGACCTAAATCTAGGATCACGGACAATTACTAGAGGTATTTAACCTTTTTATCAATATTCAGCTAGGCAAAACTTGGGACGTGAATTGGGTGAATATGAACACTACTTGTTGAATTGTTGACGTAAGGTATGTACCTATAATATAATTATTAGTATAGTTTACGTTTATTTAGGTCTATGTAGTCAGGTGTACCTAAATTTGAAAAAAGGTTTTGAAAAAATTTTGAAAATATGTCAACCTTGGTCATTTTTATAGGTGAATCCTCAGTTAAAGTGGAGACAAAACTAAACAATAAATACCGATAGACCATAAATCTGTAAAACAGCTTTTGAAAACTATCTCTCTCTCTCTCTCGCAGATAAGTATAAAGACATAACCTCTGAATTCATGTAAAAGAATTAAAGGACAAGGAATTTACTAAGTAAAGAAATTTTGGAATTAGTTTCTAGTTTTACTGTGTCAATAATAATAAACATTCATCCAGCCTCGAAATTTTAGCCAAACTAATTTCTATTTAGTTCCTACGTAGTCGCCTTTCTTCAGTTTCACAGTAATATAATTTTTAAATTAATGTCACATAATTAACTCACCCAAAACCACACTCAGCTAGCATATTTATTAAAGCCATTTATTCGAATGATTATTCTGCGAAGAAAAAAATAATATATTTAGAACCATACAAAATTGGAGAAACTTGAAATAAAATACATGAAGGGTAAGAGTATACTATCAAAGACAACAAGAGGGTGCAAACAAGCTTAATGTGTCTGGAGGAAAATGTACACTTCAGGGGCCATGAGCTTACAATAGGTGTTTTCTTCGACTTTTTTCTTTGTAGGAGTCTTAAAGTAAACTTTTAAAGCTATTTCAATCCTAACGGATCCTAAGTTTGACTCTCAATATATTTGTTTGGCACTATCCTATATATTAATGGGCAAGTATGTTTCCTGAAAACCTTTTTTTATCAGCTAGTGTGCATTGCAAGGAAAATCTACACATACTGTTAAAAAGATATTTACCTTTAGTTGTGCAGAATGCCTTTATAAAATAAAATAGGCTAAAAAATAAGGACAAAAGAAAGAACAAATTAGAAATCTGGATCACATTTTTATTTAAATGATGGTTCTAAATTAGGGAGTTTTCACAATACTTAATTTTGGTCGAGTTTTCGACCACGGGGTGAATTATAGTCTGTACTTAAAAGAATGACAAACTTGTAAATATAAACTACTTAATTGATTAATAATGGTGGATGAATGTTAGATGTTTGGATATACATATCTTTATTGATTGTAGCAATTGAAGGTACTATGATAAATATTATGAAAACATACAGTATTATTATCTCTTTTGTAAACTTTTTGATAATCTAGAAAACATTAAAGCTAAAAAAAAAAAAACAGACAATTGAATTTACAATGATATGTTTGACGAATTTGTCATTAATACTAATAAAATTAGTCAAAGCAGAGTAATAATAATAATTTATTTCGTAATTTGGATCGGTTACTGATTCTGAAAAAAAGTTTTAAATTGTAAAGCAGGATGTTGTATCATATATCAATCTCCCCCTTGAAACCTGAGTAAACATCCATTGAAGATAGTGCATTGTGCAGAAGCCTATATTCAACAATGGGTTCAAGGAGCTACAAATAAACATAGTTTGTTTGGACTATCTTAAGGTTGTTTATAAACATATTAGAGTTCTAAGATTATTTGCTTACGAACCAACACATTGTGGTGCGGTATTTCATTTCCAAAACTAATGCTCCGATTTTAATTTACTAAAGATAACTCTTAACAAAAGAAAAGACACTTTGTAATCAAGAAAGTTGTGCACGAGTATTTTAACAGTACTTAACCACGTTTATTAAAATTTTAAACCAATAAACAATAATTACCATCGTGATAAATTTATACAGTGTTCATTTGAAAAATGTATATTTATTTTGAATACAATCATTATACATTATACAGTACATACATTGAATACATCATAGGTGGTTTCCCATAAATAATATGTTTTTATGACTTGAATTTTTACTAAGAAACTACATGTAATTTTTATTCCGGTTTATGGTACATTTTAAAGATTCGTAACTACGCTATACAGTATTATGAATCCATTACCCCATGAAACTTGGATTGAGATGAATGAGATTCAGTAATGTTTATAGGGACTCAGCACTACATCATACTAATATGCAATCTAATGGCAAATATTCCTTTACATTAACACCACATTAATTTGTTTCCTATTATGAGTTAAAATGTACATTAAAGGTAACAACC